ATGTATTCGTTGCCTTAATATCTTAAAAAAAACTTAAAAAACAATATACATTAATTTTTTTATAACTTTCTTGATGATATAATTTACTTTAGAGGAATTAAAAAGATTACTTGGCATTATCTAAAAACAAATAGGAGAACCACAATCATTATTCTGTCTACAATAGAGACTTTTTCTGTTTTTGAAATATTTTGTCTATTGAGTATTCTATATTGTATACTTTTTTAAAAAGCTTGGGTATTTTCTAAATTTGAGTACTAATAAGCACTACCTCTATATACTAACTAGAAGAGTAATTAACATTTACCGAAACAAAATGTCACAGTATATTTGTTTAATAAATGTGATATGAAGAAAAGAAGGCAGTAGTTAGGGAAATTTATATTCACGAACTAAATTTCTAATCAAGTAAACTATTTAGACTGATCACAAAATTATTTCGGCTGACGTCACATATCCATGGTTAATCATCTGCTAATTTAATTGACCGAATTTAATTTTGGACTGCAAGTGTTAAGAATTGAACTTTGCCAAATCGGTACTCTGGTCTCATTTTTTAACACACATACTCTTAATATTTTAGTTGTTTATTTGTAAATCACTTGTGCACTCGCTTTGCTATTAAAACCAACGCATAAACCACAGCTACACAATTTACTCAACTGTTATGAATTAATATTTTTTCAAACTTAAACGTTACTGTTTATAGAAAATATTTCTAAGTACTGGTTTTGGATCTCTCGCATATTATTAAGTTCTACAGTAGCTTTTCCTTTTTTTAACAAATATTCTGTATTATATAGAAAAGCAAGTAGAAGTAAAAATGTGTCTAAGTTTCAAAATTTAATTTACCGCTAAGTAAAATAATAACTTATATATAAAAAAATACGTTGCTAAAATCTTTTAGAATGGTGTCGCTACGAAAGTTAATCTTGGTATAAGTCTTGCAGAATACATTGTGACCGAAAAGTTTTCGGAGGTTCTCATTTAAAATTCGCGCGCTGTATATTTTTCGATATTTTAAGTTTATGTAGTTTGGCAGCACTGTCCTTAATTACTATGCAAAAAATGAGAGCGATCTGTCAGACAGTTCGTTTACGGCAGCTGTTGAAACCAGTTCACCTCAGTAGTGCGTTGCGAAAAAAACAATGGAAAAAAATATTGAACAAAGAGTTTGCATCAAATTTTGTGTTTCGAACGAAATTTCGTGTGCAGAATCGTTGCGAATGCTACAAAAGGCTTATGGGGAATCAGTTTTATCGAAAACTCAAGTTTATGAGTGGTACAAAGCCTTTCAGGACGGTCGTACGACCGTCGAAGACATGCCGCGTTCTGGACGACCTTCGACCTCTACCACCGACGAAAACATTGAAAAGGCAAAGGAAATCGTGTTCCAAAATCCTCATGTGAGTGTTAGAGAGATAGCACGAGAGCTAGGCATCGGTCGTGAGATGGCTCGTTTGATTTTGGTGGACAATTTGTGTATGCGACGTGTCAACGCCCGGCTTGTTCCGATTCACCTCAATTTGTTCAACATTATCAACGATTTTAAGGCCAAACATTCAATAAATACCATCGAACAGCCACCGTATTCACCTGATCTTGCACCGTGTGACTTTTTCCTGTTTCCCAACCTCAAATTACCACTCAGAGGAACGCGTTTTGAATCCATAGAAGACGTAAAACAGAATTCGCAGAGGGAACTCAAAGCCATACCGGAAAGCGCCTATAAAAAATGTTTTGATGATTGGAAGAAACGTTGGCATTTGTGTATCGCTTCTAATGGAGCATATTTTGAAGGAGATAAAATAAATATTGATGAAGATTAAGAATTTTGCGTTTTATTTAAAATTTCCGGAAGCTTTTCGGTCACAATGTACAACAGTATTCTGTACAAATCCAAAGCATTACCCCACTTTTATCGCATTTTTACTTACAGTCATAAACAGTTGAATATTTAATAAGGCAGCCATAGACTACTTATACAGCAAGTTATTTGGTTAAAAAGTAAGCATGCTCCTAAATTGTATGCTTCATAAATTTTATAATGTTTAAATTACGATTAGTTTATACTGATGATATTTGCCAAACATTACCGGTAATAGCATGAAGAGCACGTGCTGACAAAACAAATGCATATCTATTATAAAGCAATCCGAAAGATGTGATTAAATGGAAAACTATAATTTACAGATAAAGCGAACGATAAAATATTAGTCTTCGCTATATATTCGTAATTTAATAATTTACGTATAAAAAAAATTTGGAAAACATTAACAAAAAATACTTTCGGTCCTTGAGCTAATAATTTCATTGGGATAGTGTTTAGTAACCTAATATAAGATCATAATTAACCAGTATTGAAACCTATTTTTAAATCACAAAATGACATATCAATTTACTCATTCGGTACTCCAATAAAATAGAACACCCATTGCTCTAACCAGAATTTCATATGTCAACTCCACAAAATAGGTTTGAAAAAAAAACGACCTATAAATATATTTTTAGAAATTTAAATAGTGAAAGATGAATAATTAAAAGTGAATAAATCGTAAATAAAATGATTGTAATAACATTTTTTCTCTGAAAATAAATTGATTTTTCTATTTTGAACTTCTCTATACATAAACGATTTTCACTTTTACTTTAATCGATAAGAATCCTTGATAAGTTTATATCCTGCATTGACAATTAATAAATTGTAAAAGCACATGTGGAATTTAAAAAGGTGTTCATACCTAGTTCAATATCCTAGTTTCATAGTCAATTGTATGTAGCTTCTTATAGGGAGTTTATATGACCTTTAGTAAGTGTCACATTAACTTCGGAAAGTGTACTTCATCTAAACAATGAAAAACTGCAGTTTTTAGAGTGTTTGACTTTTAATATAAATCAATATACAGGGTGTCAAAAATAAATTCTACCTTAAAAGAATTAATTAATTTTAAATAAATTATTAATTAAAAGATCATATCTTCAAAAATGGAAATCGCTTTTTGGTTATTAAACATCTTTTGATTTGATGATTTGGTATATTCGGGTGCCTATGGATTCTGAAATTAGTGTAATTTAAATTTAATTTAATTCGAAAAATTCTGAATTCTATTCTATTTCAATATTATTGTTTAAATAATTTAGTGCCATAAAGACAGGGAAGCTATTTTGCTATAGGGAAAAGGGTTCATAGTGCGAAAAGTTTTAACTACAAAAATTCATCATTAGTGGTCTTTAGAAATATTTGAAGATCAAATATTTCGTATATAATTTTTTGGATAAAACTTTCAGCTTTTTCAAACTTAAAATTAATGAGTGATTAGAAAGAGCAGCTCAGTCTGATTGGGATAATTCAATTGTCTGCAGACAAGCTAAAGAATCCATGCCGTATCGATCAAAAGCCAGAACTAGGGAGCTACATATGCCGAACAGAAGTGGCATTCGACTTGTCAGAGACTGCTACTCGTCTATGGAACTAAAGTGGGTATGTCACAATAATCTTCAAAGAATGCAGTGACGTATGGCAACAAGTTCCCAACCCGTTTTAAAATCTAATCTAAATTTAATGTATATTTAAAATTGAAAAATATATATTATTATATTTATTATTTTAAATAAACAATAAAATACATTAATATATTTATTATATAGTATTTTTACAAATAATTCATTTTTATAACTTCTTTCTGGAATATTTAATAAAATTAGTTTGGTGTTTCTACTTTAGTGAATGACTGCATTCTGAAAATATCCATCGATCAATAAATATGAAAATTTGATTTAATCTAATTGACAAAGAAAATCTTTTGTTCTATTAAATAGAATGAAATATATGTAAAGATGGACTCAACATTATTCGTACATTTCTATTTCTAAAAGCAAAGTCATATTATTTATTATCGTTTATCTTTGAGTAACGCATTTTAAAACATCTGTTTGGTTTGTAATCTGTGCATCATAGGAATTTAAATTGATTTATTTAAAAATAATCTATGAAATATGGTTGTATTTTTACAAACCAGTTAAATTATATTTAAATATAAATATCTATTAATAGCATACCATGAACTAATCAAAAAACTCAAACTTTTAATTTAATAAACAGATTTTAAAGACATTAGAGTTTAGTAATAATTAAAAAAGATAATTTAATTTTAATTAAAATATTAAAATTATATATTATACAAAACCGTTAAATAAAAAAATGAATTATTAAAGATATTTCCCAATTTCCTATAATTGGTTTTAATCGAAATAAATTAAATCTCTCCAATTGTTGAAATAAACTAGATAAGAAGTGAAATTCTTTAAATCCACATATTCATATATATATTAAAATATAATATAAGATAATCAACTAATATTTTTTTGATCTTAACAGAAAACCTATAGTTTCTGCAGTTAAAATTTTATTTATATAAAATAGTTGGTCATTTGTTCTTATATACTGTATGGCTTTTTGTACACTCGTGTATAAAAATATATATATTTAAAAAATAATTTTCTTTTTAAAATACTTTTTATTTCAGATTATTAAACATTAAACTAACAAATTATAATAATATATTTGGCACTTAACAAATTATTCAATGGAATCAATTTGTTGTTATGTCTCCGGTTATATATATATGTACATAGAATCATTTTATATTACACTATTAAAATCGCCTATTTTGGCTGACCTCAAATATAGGATTTCTTTATTACCAAAAAAAGTAATAGAGAAAGTCAATCTTATACATTCCATAAAATTTTGAAATTAAAATTTTTCTAACTTGGGGTCGCATTTATGTTAGTTGAATTACTTATTCTAGAGATTATCTTAAATTTTAGTGTTAAAATTATTTAATAATAGTAGTAATAATAATAATAATAATAATTATTATTATTATAATAATAATAATAATAATAATAATAATAATAATAAAAATAAAAATAATAATAATAATAATAATAATAATATTATAAATAATAATAATAATAATAATAAATTATTATTTGGTATAATATATAATGATTTACTTAAAATAAGCATTGATAGATCAGTATTAATAGAAACACTCCTGTAAACTCTTACAGTTTAGTGTTCTCAGTCGAGTTTTTAGTATTTTCTTCATTATGTGTTTCCTTTGCTTTTAGAAAATCAGGATCATCCCAAGGTTGTAGTTTCATTCGGCCGAATATAACATAGAAGAGATCACCAACAGTAAATACCACAGCAGATATAATAAACACAATTTGCCATTGGGTGCGATCGTGCTAAAAATATATAACATGTTAATATTGCTCCATTTGAATTGACATACAATGAAATATACCTCATTCTGTACAATAAAACCCACTAATAACGGCGTTAATATTGGAACAACATTAGCAGCTGTATTAACTACTCCCATCAGAACTCCTGCGTGATTGGGTGACAGATCGATTGTGTTTAGTGCACTACCTATAGTTGAACCAGCATTTATGCCTACATTAGCCGTCATCAGAACAATTGCAAGAGTTTTCTGGTCTTCATCCAGAAAACCGATGCCAATTAAAGCAGCTGCAGGAACCAGAAATGCTAACGAATTAAATGTTTTCCGTATTGCGGTCAATGATAGTACTTTCTTATTAAGTAATATATCAGAAGTTATCAAATATATATAAGACATGCACCACATTGCCAAATAAGGTAGGGCTGAGAAGAGCGCATTTGATTTCATATTCATGTGCAATACGCCATTCATATATGAAGGAATTTCCGCTTGCAGAGTAGAGAAGCCCCACGATTGTGCAGAACGAGCAACAACCAAAGCCCAGAAAGGTAATGAAGACATAATTGCCTTCCATGGTACTGGTATTTTTACTTCAGATTCGCTATCGTTTGCCGCTTTAATAGCATTCTTTGATGTTTCGATGTAAACGAGTTCTTCTTGTGATATAAGTTTGGATTCTGTTGGTGAATTAGCAGCAAATAATATCCATGCAACACAAAATACAACACCAATGCCACCAGATATATAAAATATACCAGGCCAACCTAAGTCAGATGCAGCAATTATGCCACTGAGAAACATAGCAGAAACTGTCCCACATTCAATTCCCGTATTAGCTAAAGCTCCCAGCCGATTACGTTCATTGACTGGACACCATGCCGCCAAATGTGCGTGTAAACATGGAAAAATTGGGCCTTGAAATAAACCCTGCACTGCTCGTATCACACAATACACTTGCCAACCGCCCCATGAAACACATAATGGCGGAACAAATGCCAAGACAGCTGAACCCAGTGTTGAGTAGAACATCGTTGTTTTAGCACCAAATCTTCGGCACAAATAACCACCAGGAAATTGTGTGATGAAATATCCCCAGAAAAAACTAGAGAGAATATAAGACTTTTGCTTCTCATTCCAATCGTACTCCTATGAACAAATTGAATTTCACATGCCATGAATATTGTTGAATAATGTTTTTAAGAATTTATTAAGTGTTTTTTTTTTTGGATGACTCACCTTAAAATCTGGATTAGTGCTTTCAGCATTTGTCATGGCAACTACCGCAACGCCTACATTTAGTTTCGCTACATAATTGACCACAATTGAAAGAAAGAGTAACAACACCTGTACATGTCGCTGGCCCAGGCATGGTCCTTAAAAAAAATCGATATTAATCTAATATTTTTAAACAATTCTGTAAAAATAATGTGTAAAAATATTAAGAAGCAAAAAATATCTATAAATTATCTTAATTTAAATAATAAATAATATATTTAATCTCTTATGGTCTTTGCTTTGTAGAAGATACGTCATCGAAACTTATCCTTCTTACTTATACTTTTCATTATGTGATTAATTTTCCAGATAGCGAAGTTATGTGAATTCAAATAAACGTAAGCGTAAAATATATTAAATTGAATATATAGACTGAGAAAAAACTAATCTCAACTAAACTTTAGTGAACCAGGAATCTGAATGATTTCACTTCAATGCAATTTTCATTTATATTATGATTGAATGAGTTGAAAACACAATGAACAAAATGCTTTAAAAACGCAAACCACTTGATTTGATTTTATGACCGTTTAAAAATTTTATTACTCAATCAATAATGCCACATATATAGGTATATAGGTAATAATAATAGATGGCTTGATCTACGTAAAGCCATCAGAAATAAATTACCGGAGTTAACTTTTTCATTGTTAGTGAAAATATTTAATTAAAATTACTATATAATGCAGCCATATGAATAAATCTGTAAGATTTCGCGGTTTACCGAAAAGTACTAGAATATTTTTATTTGAGGTTATAGATTTAAAAAATTTATTAGATAAAAATAATGCAATCTACATATGAGGAGCTTTTTTTCAAACAATGCTATAAAGAGTGAGTATATAAAAATTGTAAAGAAGTGTTAAGATAAACACAGAGTTTGTAACTAAACTTTCTATTAAAACCTTAAAGATCCTAACGAATACATAAATAGATTTAATACCCCTATCCATAAACTTGCTATAGATTTTGTATGTATTGTATGTTCCATAGCACAGTCATTTAAAGAGAACTTATTTATAAACAAATAACTAAGCTCAAATCAGCTTTTTCGTCAAATTTTTCAATTATTTGTTATAGACTTTACCGAATGGTGACACGATGCCGCCTTTCAGGGTACGCCAATTTGACAACGGAATCCAAAAATTCATTTTTTGAGCAACTTTTAACATTAAGCTGTATACCAATATATGTAATTTACTTGTCAAGGTTTAAAGTTGTAAATATTTTACAGTAAATAAAATAACTAGATGTAACCATGTAGGTCCAACTGATATATGCAATTCTAACATTGAGTATACAAACAATGGTTAACAATAGACGCGTTAAATAGCACATCTACTTGTTCATGGTTTTCATGTAAACATTTCGAATTCTAAGTCCTGATATCGTAGTAAAAATAAATAATTCAAAATAACTGACTTTACTGAAATCCGTTATGAGTACCCGAGATATCGTAATCATGCCGAAGACGTCATAAAGATTACACATTATTTTGAGTTAATCATTTTTCATTAAACTGGTTAAATAATACATCCTCTTGTAATTATTTCGAATTTTATATTCAGAGATATCTGGAATACTGAGCTGTATATAGTATATAGTATATGGCATAATGAAAAAAGGTGTTCAAAAAGGTTGAGTTAACTAAAATTAATTGGACGTGCTTGTGATATCACAATCGTATTGAAGACGTTATATGTACTGTACAGTATCAAAAGTCTTTTGAGAGTCTTTTTAATATCTTAATAAGTGCCACTGTAGTTCTTTTATAATTCTAATTTCATATGTTCCTATAGATATAAATAACCTATAGATAAAAACCAATACATAAGTTATTCACTATTCCAGCACATTCACAGAGAGCCTTTTTTCCAGGACTCAGTAGTCATAAATAATTTATAGAATGGAACGACTATTACTTTCACTATTTCATTTATTTATTATATGGTGGAATATTCGGTAATTTGCTTTAAAAATATTAACAATTTATTTTTTGTTTTATTATTAAAGTGCATATTAGAAACTAAAAAAATCGTTGAACTAAAAAGTATATGACATAGTTACATCTTATGAAAGGGTCACTTTTATAATATCTCAACCCACATCACTGAATATAAAAAATATTAAACACGTTCAGGCACATTCAAACACGTTTAAACACGTTTCAGAATTTTTTATTTATTATTAATGATCATTTTTTCATATTTATTTGTTTTAACACAGCTCTTCTGATATTTATAACACATTAACAAATATTTCATTTTTTATAAAAATTACTTGTAAATAACATATATTTGAGTATTAATTATCCGGTTTAAATAATTTTGCTCAAAAGTTCATTTACTTGTTTGTTTAGCTTTTACATTAATTAGATATATTTTAAAACGACATTCAATGAAGCACAAATCTCTCTAATATCTACCTTTATTTGTAATATCCGTAGCAGTCATATTGTTATGATTGCCTTAGACCGCTCTCTAATATTCTTTGTTCCAATAACGTTAGCGGACAAAACTATACTCGCCAGTTATAATAAGAATAAGTTTATATAAACCTTTGAATTCATAAAACAGATTAATATTTTAAATAAATCAAACCCATACCTCAGATAACAATCGATGACAGCTGGTGCTTAAACTAAACCCGATATCGAATACACACGGATACCTGTAAAACACTGTTTATATAGATTAAAGAAAACAACAAATATACATTGGTAATACCAATTGACAAAACTGAAGTGTGGCCGTAAATCTTATACAGATTACTAATACAATACACTTGTCCTCTAAATTGGACTTTAATAAACATAAAATAATTATCAACACTTGCGTGTAAAAAATTTAAATCAAATATTTGATTTAAAATCTCAACAAAATTGATGAGTGTATAGCACATATAGACTTTGACAAGTCTGCCCAATTTGCTCTGCATCTACAATAACTAGATTTTTGGCAAGATTTAATAAAAATAAGAAAATAATACGTATATGTATTTCAAAATAAAAATCTTGACAAAATCTAGCCAGTGTAGACACCAATTAAACAGCTCAGACATTCTCGAATAATTGAAATGCTCGATCCAAATGCTTAAATTCTAGTATGCTTGCTTTGTTTAAGCATCACAATACTTCAACGTCTTGAACCAATAATTTATCCATTCATTTATGTTAATGATGTTACTTTGTACTAACGTATATAATTCAAACGATACAAAAATATTTTATTATAAGAGCATTTAACCCATAGCGAGTAGAGATACCTCTTGTAGAGATACCTCTCTGACATACAGACATCCTAATTGCAGTTTGGTTCGCGCCCTCAGATTATTGACAGTCTGTCCAGGTTGCTGTCATTATTTAGAATTAGAGTCAAATTTTCAATTGTTTTAATTAAAATTTAGTTGGCTGTTTTTGTTTAGAGATGGATTCATCGAATTTCGAAATTCTAAAGATAATAAAGTAGCAAAAGTGACGTGAAATGAGGATGGTCTTACTTATCTTAAAAATTTAATAAGGTTAAAGTTTACCACTTTCTTGGTAACAAAAGTTCACCAAACATTGTTATTTTATAAGACGATTATTAATAATAAAACATAAGAAATATATAAATTATTAAAATTATATTGAATGTAGTTTTGTTGAGAACATTGACTGGCATAGAACTCCGATTTAAACAGACACCTCTACCACAAAAAAGGATGAAGGATTGGAACAAACGCTATAAACTCTGTTAGAATATCTTAAATAAATGCCATGAAATTGATGGTACCATTCTAGGGAATATGGGTTTTAATAAACATTTTTCCTTATATTTGATGTTTTTGATATCAAACATCGAAAATAGATAATGATACGGTTGCAGTAAAAGATATAAAGTAAGAAAAAAAAGTATATTAATATATATAGTAAAATATATAGCACAAAAAAAAGATTTACTAACAAATAATAATATTTTTACTTTTTGCTTTGGTTTTTAATCCTTGTTTTACTTCATGGAATGTAAACTGGGTTTAAAAGTTAGTTTGGATCAAAGTCGAAAAAAACTATATGTTTTAAATTTATCAAAAACATTGACTAATGCATATAAGAAACATTTATATACAGATTGTATATACTTTTAAAACCAGGCGCAATAAACTTAATAAATTATTACAAAATTAATAAAATTATTAATAATAATAATATTACTGCATTCCTTTTCACTTCATTTAAATCAATGTTAAACGTTTGATTAATTTTTAAGAATTAAATTAAGAGTCCTGATGATTTCATCTTATCAAAAAAGTAAATAATAGTCCTATGTGTTTTAGTAGATATAATTCAAAAAAATATTTCCTACACCTTTTCAATTACGTCCATTTGATCTGTGAAAGATTGATTAAACTATCAAGGAAATCCATATCAAAGTTCAATATTCCGTAATTTCCCGTGTGTTGATTTCTAGTACAAGTTAAGACTCATTGACTCAACGTCACTTTTATTTGCAATTAATTTAATTTATTGCAATTGATTGTTAACAATTAAGAATTTCGCTAGAACCTCTCAAATTAATCGAAGTGAGTTTTCCACTGTCTATTATCAATTGCCATATAATAAAAATAAGTAAAATTATATTTAATTATTTATTGACACTTGCAATTATTTGCCTTTGTTTGAGATTTTAGTGCCAAAGTGTACTGCAGTAAATATTTTTAGAACACCATTTCAATTTTGATAGCTACGTTATCTACTGATAAGTGTGGGAACATAAAAAATTTGATAATATATTATGTCAATACAATCATTTCTTACAATGTGCAAAAAACTATTTAAAGTAGATTAGAACCTTTATTAAAATTTTTAAAAAGTTAATAAGTAAATAAGTTATTAACTTGACTTTTTTGTGAAATTAATTATAATTAACTAAAACAGATATTAATTAAAAATTACATAAAATATATACTTATATATATACGATAATTCTTATAATGAAATGCAGTGAGATTCCTCAAAACGGACAGTTCTTTTAACCGGATAGCTTCAATAGCTGGACAACTTTCGTGGAAATAGATTTTTTTATACAAATATCATTCCAATAACCGGATGCTCTAATAACAGAATGTGGACACTACATTTGAAACCATTTTAAAATTTTGTTTCGTGCAAACATGGTTGGAGATATAGAACTGCTTTTGGTTATAATTAAACACCACGCCCTCGAGCAGCAAAATATCCTCGTTCGATATCACTCAATTGCCAGTGGATTGCGAATCTAATAAAAAAGCATGGATGACTCGAGAAGTAACCAATGAATGGCTGCAGCAGTTCAATAAGAAAACAAGAAAACGAAAAATTCTTTTGTTTTTGGATAATGCAGCATCTCATCCAAGGGAATTGAACTTCATTTATATAAATCTTATTT